AGGCATGTGCCACCACGCCCAGCTAATTTTTGTATTTTTGATAGAGACGGGGTTTTACCTGTTGGTCAGGCTGGTCTCGAACTCCTGACCTCAGGTGATCCACCCGCCTGAGCCTCCCAAAGTGCTGGGATTACAGGGGTAAGCCACTGTGCCCAGCCAAAGAACTGCGTATTTTTTGCAATGTATGCTGAAAGAAACCTGGAGAATATCTGTGGGAATGACGTGAAGGAAGTGGGAGCATGTCATCCTGGTTCACAAGTAAAACTAGGAGCTTATGTAGGGCAGGTGATCAATGGAGTTTTATCTCAGGTCCATCTTATATTGGGCCCAATGAGTCTTTGAACTCATCCTGTGGTTACTTCCCCAGTCCTGAATGCAAAATTGGGACAGACATGCTCAGCAACTGGTAGAATCTCCATGGTGGATCCCTGACCTGTGAAGTGAGGGATGTGGATGAGAACAGGAGACACGTGTGTGTGTATGTGCATTGGGGGAAGCACTGGGATGTGACCAAAGACCCAGAGAAGAAGAAACCCTGCATAAACCAGAAGGTGGGAAAGATTATTTTTTGGCATGTGATGAAATTTGGGTTGGATGCAGACTGTGGAATGCTTCCAGATCTAACCTAAAATGTTCAATATGTCATCTTTAACTTCTGGCTATTAGGTAGCATTAAAGTAACTAAATATGGTCTGAGAAGGACTCTGTACTTCTATATTTGAGTCCTCGTGGATGAACTGCAACCTAACTTAATAGGCAGACAAGATCGAAAAATCCAACTTAAGAGTATGTGCCTGGCCGATGCAGTGGCTCGCGCCTGTAATCCCAGCACTTTGGGGGGCTGAGGCAGGCAGATCACCTGAGGTCAGGAGTTTGAGACCAGCCTGACCAACATGGTGAAACCCCGTCTCTATCAAAAATACAAAAATTAGCTGGGTGTGGTGGCGCCTGCCTGTAATCCCAGCTACCTGGGAGGCTGAGGCAGGAGAATCATTGGAACCTGGGAGGTAGAGGATACAGTGAGCCAAGATCATGCCACTGCACCCCACCCTGGGCAACAGAGCAAGACACTGTCTCTAAATTCTAACCTAAATTCTGTTCACATTGGCCACAATTGCTGTCAAAGCAGAGGCTTGAAGAAGACTTGAATAACACAATGAGTTAACAGGTAAGGGCAGCTGTTTGGAATCAATTATTTTTGCTTTGATATCCAGACACTTAGCTGGACCTCAATTTTTTTTTTTTTTTCCTTTTTAGACAGGGTCTTGTTCTGTTGCCCAGGCTGGAGTGCAGTGGGGTACATGTCGTCAGGACCTCCTGAGCTGTCATGAATATATATATATATATATACACACCCACACACACACACACACACACACACACACACACCCACACACAGAGCCTGTAATCCTAGCACTTTGGGAGGCTGAGGCGGGCACTCTCCCCGCTATGGATATGACCTATGGATATGACCTTATTTGGAAAAATGGTCTTTGCAGATTAATGCAAGAAAAAGATGGAGGATTTTTGCCCTTGCACCAGGCTGCCTGCTGATCTCTGCATAGAGCTTTGCATATATACAGTATACTGTATATATATTTTATATATATAAGTGTGTGTATATAATATATATACACATGTGTGTATATATGTGTGTATATATAATATATGTGTGTGCATATATATGTATATACACACCTGTATATACATATACATACACACTTGAATATACATATATGTAGAGATCAGCTGTGTATATATATAATATATATACACACACACAGGTGTGTAAGTGTACCTATATACAGGTGTGTATATTCATAGTTATGGGTGTTAGGACTTGGACATATCTTTTGGGTAGGCGTGTATATATATACATGCCTGGATTAATAGGTAAAAAACAGGAGTATGGATAACTTCATTATTGAGCATTGACTATTAGCTACCATTTAATACGTACCCTTCATTTAATACATAGCCAATAACAACCTCGCCAGGTAGGTGTTACTATCCTCATTTTACAGAGATGGTAATTATAATGGGTTGAATTGCAGCCTCCCCAAAAGACATGTCCAAGTCCTAACACCCCTAACTGTGGATATGATCTTATTTGGAAAAAGGGTCTTTGCAGATTAAGTTTAATTCAGGGAAGAATCCCAAGATTAGATCATCCTGGATGAGGGTGGGCCCTAAATCCAGAATAATGTGTCTTTGTAAAAGAAAAGAAGGGAAGAAGAGACACAGGAAGGCCATGTGAAGACTGAGGCAGAGATGAGTGTGCTGCCACAAACCAAAGAATGCTGGGATCCACCAGAACCTGGAAGATTCTCCTCTACAGTTTTGGAGGGAATGTGGCCTTACAGATAGACACCTTGATTTCACACTTCTGGTCTCCAGAACCGAGAGAATCAATTTCTGTTGTGTTAAGTCCTTAAATTTGTGGTGATTTGTTAAGGCATCCCTAGGAAACAAATACAGTAAGTACAGGGGGTCCTGACTTCAGGGACGGAGTAGGTAGGTTCCTACCTAGGTTTAAGTCTCAAGGAATGGAGGAGGGAGGAGAGGTGAGGTAAGTGAAAGAGAGACAAGGAGAGCGGCAAGTTGGGACCACCCTTCCCTGACTTGAGACAGGGTCAGGATCACCCTACATTTCTTCTCTTCCCTCACCCTCCTCCAGCACTGCAAAGATGAGCCTTTGTTACCCTGGGGAGCCTGTGTTGGCTCTCCTGCGTTTTAGGCAAGAAAAAGATGGAGAGTTTTTGTCCTTGCACCAGGCTGCCTGCTGATCTCTGCATAAAGCTTTGTCATTTACCATGCAGTTTCATGCTCACAATCACTTTCAACCCTGAAAAGAACCCATCTTACTGATGAGAAAGGTGAAGCACAAAAGCACTTGCTCAAACTTACATGTGTCAAGCTGGTGTCAATCGAAGACTCCAAATTCCATTTTATTACCATTGCACCATACAGCTGTGGAAGAATAATTCTTCCGTAAGAGTTAAAACAAAACCAAAACCATTTTGTGGAGTTTGTTCATGAGCACCAAAAATCATTGGAGAGTGTGTGCACTCAGCACACGCAAAGTTGTGTATATTATCTCCGTTGTAGGGTAAACTTTGGTACAAGGATTCAGCCTTCCTTAGTCATCTTGGTTTGAGGAATAAAAGGAAAATAAGAGTTTTGCCTGAACATATGGTATTAAATATGCCAATATAATCTTTGGAGTTTTGCACTAAATATATATAGTTTTTGGAAGCAAGGACTTTGGGCAGCTTTCGGTAGTTGTGTTTTCCGTGTTTTTCTAAACTAGCCAACCCATACAGAGGTTTAATTTTGAGAAACCAAGCTCCTAACACGTCTTCATTCATAATCTGTTTCTTTGTTTCGTTTTTGTTTTTTGAGACGGAGTCGACCAGGCGCGGTGGCTCAAGCCTGTAATCCCAGCACTTTGGGAGGCCGAGACGGGCGGATCACGAGGTCAGGAGATCGAGACCATCCTGGCCAACACGGTGAAACCCAGTATCTACTAAAAAAAATACAAAAAACTAGCCGGGCGAGGTGGCGGGCGCCTGTAGTCCCAGCTACTCGGGAGGCTGAGGCAGGAGAATGGCGTAAACCCGGGAGGCGGAGCTTGCAGTGAGCTGAGATCCGGCCACTGCACTCCAGCCTGGGCTACAGAGCGAGACTCCGTCTCAAAAAAAAAAAAAAAAAAAAAAAAAAGAGACGGAGTCTCGCTCTGTCTCCTAGGCTGGAGTGCAGTGGCACGATTTCGGCTCACTGCAACCTCCGCCTCCCAGGTTCAAGTGATTCTCCTGCCTCATCCTCTTGAGTAGCTGGGACTACAGGCGTGCGACACCACGCGGGGCTAATTTTTTTTGTATTTTTACTAGAGATGGGGGTTTCGCCATGTTGGCCAGGCTGGTCTTGAACTCCTGACCTCAGGTGATCTGCCCACCTCGCCTCCCAGAGTGCTGGGATTACAGGCGTGATCCACCGCGCCCGGTCCATAACCTGGTTTTAATCATCAACTTATAATTTTTTCCGTTCTTAGTGCGGGAGGGGGCTTGTGACAGTTACCTGGCAGTAAGTACATAAGGCAGACATCTACATTATTTACAGAGGGTCCTCTCACTTTCTTGCCTCCCCACTTCCTCCACACCCTGGGCAGGGACCATTTTCTCTGCAATATTTGCTATCAACGCTGTTTCAATTCAGTTTGCTGGCCCTCCCAGTTTTTCCAGCTTGAAACAACACCTGAAAAGTACCTGTAAGATATTTTGGTCGAATTCAGCGGCAATCTGGAAAATCCCTTCTCAAAATCCCTTCTGCTCATTCCTTAAAATAGTTCAGGTCTCTAAGAGAACTGCAATGGAGTAAATAACATACAGGGTTTTGCCCTTCGTTGCTCTGATAAGGGCTGGCACGGTAGAAGCGCGGAGCCTGAACACCCAGGAGACACGTGTCAGCTTGGTGAATGAAGGCTTGCGCCGGCCTGGCATTTCTGCTACCTCTAAGCGCGGAGAGTATTAGCTGAATGGTAGGGGAGGGTGTGGTTGGAATCTTCTCCAGGAAGGGAGTGACAGATAGGTTTCAGTGCTAGGGAGATGGCGGCTCAATGGGTTAGGCGACACGTGGACAGAGCTTCCTAGTCTCGGGATAAGCAAGATTGAGCCCCACAGCTGTAGGCCATGCGGGGAAGGAGGTGTGGGAGCCTGAAGCGGCGTACACGGCTACCTGGTGTGCTCTGCATTTTCCTGTCCTTGGAAGTCCTTCCCAAGAGTTCGTTTTACACCCACACAAACAAGACCTCAAGCGTCCCAGAAACGTCAGCAGTTCATTCTGCGGGTGAAGAAAATATTAACATTTTTCAGATGAAAACTCTCCTCCTGAAAGGACCTTTGCTGAGTGCTGGGGGAGGCGGGGCGCAGGGAAAAACTGAGACCGCCCAGGAGGCTGCGGCGCTCCTGGGCTAAGTTCTGCCAGGGAGCTCCCCCGTTGGGTGACGGAGGAGGTGGGGCGAGGGCAGCGCGCAGAAATAGGGCTCTGGACGCCCGAGCGCAGCCAGCCTCCAGCACAGCCCGCGGCCCGGTGCGAGCTCCGCCCGCTGCCCTGCCGGTGTGCCAAAGTGCGGTGGTCCCGCAGGGAACCGGGCTCGGGGAGGGCCTCTGTGAGTCATCTGCTGAGTTGTCGCAATCACCACCCAGAGGAACTCAGGCACCGGGCGGGGCGCGTTCCCGGCTGCGCTCGCGCGCTCTGCCGCGCTGCGGTGTCCCTCCGCTTACCCGCAGCTCCAACCACTGGCTCGCGCTACCCAGGTCTGCGCACGCCGCGGTGGCTTCAGCCCAGACCTGGGCCGCCGGCGGAGAAGGAGTTAACTGACAGGGGCGAGGAGGAGCCCGGGGAGGAAGGAAGGATATTGCCGTAATTCTGAAAGTTTTTTTCCTTCCTCTCTTCCCCTCGCAGAGGTGAGTGCCGGGCTCGGCGCTCTGCTCCTGGAGCTCCCGCGGGACTGCCTGGGGACAGGGACTGCTGTGGCGCTCGGCCCTCCACTGCGGACTTCTCCCGAGTGGGTGCGCCGAGTCATGGAGGGCGCAGAGCTGGCCGGGAAGATCCTTTCCACCTGGCTGACGCTGGTTCTCGGCTTCATCCTTCTGCCTTCAGTCTTCGGAGTGTCTCTGGGCATCTCCGAGATCTACATGAAGATCCTGGTGAAAACTTTAGAGGTGAGTGCCGGGAGGGATGCAGCCAGCCCCACGCCACTGCGGGCTCAGAACCCTGGGGTCCAGCTCTCAAGGTCAGTGGTCGCGGATCAGGGGTGTGTGTGCGCGCGTGTGCATGCGTGCGTGCATTTCTGTTCCTTGCCCGCGGCAGTGCGAAAGTCAGCATCTCGGCGGCTTTTGCGGACCTGGAGGGATTTGGGCTGAAACCACTGGACCACTATTGTTCCTCTGGTCGGAAGCAAAAATCACTCCATTCCCTGAGCATCGTTATTATTTTACTGATTATAATAACAATGCGACCAACTTTTTGTATCAGAGGATTTGCTTATATCCATTATGCAGTGCAGTTTCCCCTTCACCCGCTTGTTTTTACAGCCCCAGGTTTCAGAGGTCCTTTTGTGTACTCAGGCATCCTGTTCAGAAAGGCATCGTGTTCTTCTTTATGCCCAAGATAAGAGACCAATTCCTGGATGGCAGAAAGAAATCGTATTTTCTTTTAGTGGAGTCATGGAATTTTATCTAACTAACAGCACTTGAAATGCCATTGAAAAGGTATATATTCTTTGACCTCAGGTCTCCCTACCCTCCTGTTTCCAAATTCTGCAAAGAAAAATGTTAGATGGAAGTGGGCCTGGTAGAGAACAACTGCAGCTTACTCTTAGGGTTTTATTAAGTGTCAAAAGGCTGGGTAGGGTAGGGAGGGCAAGTGCTATCCCCCTTTTACAGAGAGGGAAACTGAGAGTCAGAGATCAGTGGTTTGTTTGAATTAACTGTTAGAAGCAGGAGTCTTTTTTTAAAAAAAAATTGTATGTATATAATTTATATCTACTTGTTTCAAAAATATATATATTTATATGTTATATATACTTTTTTTTTACATAAGAGACAGCGTCTTGCTATCTTGGCCTGGCTGGTCTTGATCTCCTGGCCTCAAGCAATCTTCCTGCCTTTGCCCCCCAAAGTGCTGGGATTACAGGTGTGAGCCCCACGCCTGGCCAGAAACAGGAGTCTTAACTGAGTACAGCCTAGTGGTTAGGAGTAGAGATCCTGGATACAGGTTTGCTTAGATTTGGTACCAAAATTGTAGCTCTGTTTCTCAAAATGTGACCTTAAGGAGGTCATGTACTCTTGTGCCTCATTTTCTTTATCTATAAAATAGGAGTAACAATAACTCCTATTTCCACAGGGTTGTTCAAATAAGTTAAAATGTATCAAGCACCTTAGAAGGCTGCCTGCATCGACTATATGAATGTTTGTTGCTATTAAAAGAATAATATGATTACTGAGATTCTAGCATTCCACAGTGCCTTCTTATAAGTTTGGTTCCCATTTTTGTGACCTTATTTTCTCTCTGCCCTTAGGATGTGGCTTTATCTGCTCTTCTTCCTCAGCTAATTGGGGAATACATCTCTAACCCACTGGACACTGTCTTGTACCTGCTAGCCTCCTGTATTGCCCTAGACTCTCGTTTGTGGCTATTTCTTTGCCTAGTCTTTGAAGTTGTATGTGATTCTTCATTCTCAGTGCTCATGCTTTTAAAGTTTTATTGTTTCTACTTGGGAGCTATTTCTGTTTTGAACTCTTACTGACTTTACATTGTGAGCTTGGTCACATTATGCTGTGAATTTCTTAGCTGCCTGCTACTGTTAGACCTTCTTCAGAATCCTCTCCCATAGCAGATGATCCTCTTCAGCTGGTGTTCTGTCTTTCTCTGAACTCTGAAATGATTGAACTGTTCTCCCATACAGTAATGTCTTTTGGAATTTATACCCTGTTTAAGAATGGTTTAAGGTAAATCATACCCACTGGCTTCCAGGGGCTCACTCCTGTTTTTCTTTAGTGACTCAAGGTACAGCTAAGGGCAGAGGCCAGCTGGTTGCTGTCAACCTGGCAAATTATTGCACCTGATAGGATGATCTCCAGTCCAGGATCTGACTTTCAGTTTGACAGGGCCACAGATTTTAATTTTTGTCCTTCTGCACAACTCCAGAGCTGAACTCCTTGTCAATCAAACTGTCAAGAATGCCAGTTTTCTAATTCTGGTGGGAGAAACTAGATAGCTTGGAAACTAGGTAGGTGACACATAAGGAACCCACCCTGTCTGCTGAGACTAAGTTATTAGGTCAAAGAGGTGCTTGATGTATGTGGAATTTGAATACAGATTCATTGTGTGAGCCAGCTCTGATTTGTTGGCTGTGACTGCCTGGAACTCCTATGGGAGCATCTGAGCTCATCAGGAAGGAGAGCTGTGATCCCATAGTGATTTCTGCTTTAGGTGCAGGAGAACAGTAACCCAGGATCTTCTATCCTTCAACTAGAACAGTGTTAGATGTTTCAAAGACATTTCTGTTAGACTGGGGTTAATATGGTGGACTGCTTTTCTCAACTATAGGAATAATTCCTTAAGGGATTATGTTGATGTTTAGCATGAGAAAATCTTCAGTGCTGGACAAATACACTGCCTTTTTGTAGACTGCATTCAAGGCCCAGCCCTTGTATCACTCCTTGGTAAATTCTTAATTGATTTAGTTGTTTCTTTCTTTACATTTCATTCCCAAGAATATTCTTTGAGCTCTGATCATAATTGGATGTTTCTCAAGTTTCTTTGCTTATAATTTATGTACCATTTAAAAAGATCATTTAGTTTTGTCTATTATATGTTTACTTTGACAAGTTTTACTGTCAATGGGTATCTTTCTCATGACCATAAACGCAAATTCTAGAAGTTGAAATGTGTGTAGGGTACCTTCTAAATTGCTGATTTTGATAATTGTTACTTGTTAACTCACTGAGCTTTATGCTCTTCTCTGACCCCTTCTTAAGCCACTGGTTCAAGTAATAATCATTTATTGAGCACCTACTTCTACTTTCTTCTGCATTGCTGGGTATCTCTAGATGTATGCATAAGTCACTGATATGACAAGATACTTGAGGATAAGCCTTGAATACTTAGAATAAGTTTAGTGATTCTCCAAGCCAGTGATTTTCAAGGGATATATGATAATTTGTTGGATATGTATGCTAATATTACAGCTTTATATTCGAGAAAATTGTTTTAGGAATACAAATTATGAAAAGTAAAACTTGGCCAGGTGTGGTGGCTCATGTCTGTAATCCCAGCACTTTGGGAAGCTGAGGCGGGCGGATCACTTGAGATCAAGAATTTGAGACCAGCCTGGCCAACATGGTGAAACCCCATCTCTACTAAAAATACAAAAATTAGCCAGGCATGGTGGTGTGCACCTGTAATCCCAGCTGCTCAGGAGGCTGAGGCAGGAGAATCACTTGAATCTGGGAGCACAGGCTATAGTGAGCCAAGATTGTGCCACTACACTCCAGCCTGGGTGACAGAGCAACACTCCATCTAAAAAAAAAAAAAAAAAAAATCAGACTTAAAGCCATTTCTTTTGGTGAATTTTGGACAGCTACCTTTTTCCCTCCAAGAGGATTTGGAAATTAGGTGGAAAGATAACTTCATTGATAAGTATCTTTCAACTTTCCTGGGGAGGCAGAAACTGTGGGTTGTTAGAAGCCACTTTTGTACTTTAGGACCATTTTGCTGACAGAGCTGCCTCTTTTGTGATGCCTTGAGGCAGATATGTTCTGATATACCCCTGTAAGAGATTCAGAACGTCTGGAAGAGATATTCTGTCTTTGTATTTGGGTTGATCTGATTGGCTAGAGAAGCTGGCATGGTAAAAGAGAAATAACTATTTATGGGGAGAAGCACTGGACAGTCTGGAAAAAACTGGCCATTTCAGAGGCCTGAAATGTGGAATATAGGGAGGAGGAAGCTACTTTGTGGCCTGCTGTGTGGTAGGCAGGAGCTACATTATCTCCTTTAGCCTTTACAGCCACCTTTGGTATTGCCCCTGTTTTATTTTTATTTTATTTCTTTTTGTGAGACAGAGCCTTGCTCTGTCACCCAGGCTGGATGGAGTGCAGCGGCACAATGTCGGCCCACTGCAACCTCCCCCTCCTGGATTCAAGCGATTCTCCTGCCTCAGCCTCCTAAGTGGCTGGGATTACAGGCGTGAGCCACCATGCCCGGCTAATTTTTGTATTTTCAGTAGAGACGGGATTTCACTATGTTGACCAGGCTGGTCTCCAACTTTTGTCCTCGAGTGATCTGCCCGCCTTGGCCTCCCAAAGTGCTGGAATTACAGGCATGAGCCACCCCGCCTGGCCTTGTCCCTGTTTTAGAGATGATGAAATGGATGCCCCAAGACGTTAAAGTCTCTTGTGTGAGATGATTCCAGCCAGGAAGTGGCAGAACTGCAATTCAAATGTATATCTATCTAGCTGCAAGGCACAGGCATGTTTTTACTTTCAGTGGAGGGTCATCCTACAGAAGAAAAGGGTTTTCTAGTACAAATTCCCTTAGGTACTAAATGTCTGCTTCTTCAACCTTAACATTTGCATATCTTTTTTTTTTTTTTTTTTTTTTTTTTTAGGCAGGGTCTCCCTGTCACCCAGGCTGCAGTGCAGTGGCATGATCACAGCTCACTGTAGCCTCGACCTCCTCAAGCAGTCCGCCTGAGTGGTTGGGACCACAGACGTGTACCACCATGCCCAACTAATTTAAAACTTTTTTTTTTTTTTTGGAGAGACAAGGTTTCACCCTGATGCCCAGATTGGTTCGAACTCCTGGACTCAAGCGATTTTCCTGCCTTGGCCTCCCAAAGTATTGTGATTATAGGCATGAGCCACAGTGTCTGGCCTAAAATGTGCTTACCTTAACACAGTAATTGTGTTATGCAGGGTAGACCTTTAGAGCTATCATTTCAGGAGACAGAATGCATTCTGAGACTTGTCTGGTGCCAAAACATGGAGTGCTTTTGAGCAGATCATGCTTTTTGAGGAATGTCACTGTATTAGTTTGCTAGAGCTGCTATAAGAAAGTACCACAGACTGGTGGCCTAAACAACAGAAATTTATTTTCTCAGTTTTGGAAGCTAGAGGTTCAAGATCGAGGTGTCAGCAGGTTTAGCCTCATTCTGAGGCCTCTCTCCTAGGCTTGCATGTGACTACCTTCTAGCAAGAAGGTGTGGTATCCTCACATGGCCCTTTCTGTGCTCACATCCTTGTGTCTATTTGCGTGTCCAAGTTTTCTCTTCTTACAAGGACATCAGTCAGATTGGATTAGGGCCCACCCTGAGGGCTTCTTTTTAACGTAGTCACCCTTTGAAGACCCTATCTGTAAATATAGTCACATTCTGAGGTACTGGGGGTTAGAGCTTCAACATATGAATTTTAGAGGGACATAATTCAACCCATTAACAGGCACAGAATACCAGCATTTTCCATCACATGAGCATGGAATAATAGTTCTAGTCTAAGGTAACTACTATTTGTATAAAATAGAAAATCACTCGCCCACAATGAAAAAAAATGAGTCTGAAATGAACAATGATTGATTGTTTACAACATTTTATTTTAATTATATCTTTGGTTTACTTACAAATGATAATAGGCCCTGAAGCTTTAAGTGAAGAACTATGAAAACAGTTACTTCAGTTGAGAAAAGCTGAGTGGTATTAGTCCAGAGTTTGAGAACTCGTGCACTAAATCTGCAAAAGATAACAGGATGCAATCAGATTAAGACTGAGTCTTATGATTTAGTCACTTGTCACTGGAAGCTGGAAAGACTGGCCTCTATTTATAGGCTGTTTTCTAAGTGCAAATGGCATGTTCTTGTTTGGCTCTGTGGGTTGTTTTGAAGGGTCCTGACGTAGTCAGATATCATGCGTTACTCCCTGACTTTGATGTACGTTTTAGGTTATTTATTCTCTATCAGTTACGTTCTTATTTGAAAAAATTTTTAACCTCTCGTCAACAAACTCTTTTGAGCCTAGCAATAACTGAGGTTTTTGACTTGGCCTATTAATAAATCTGTCTCTGGGCTGGGTGCGGTGGGTCACACCTATAATCCCAGCACTTTGGGAGGCTGAGGCATTTGGATCACCTGAGGTCAGGAGTTTGAGACCACACTGGCCAACTTAGTGAAACCCCATCTTTACTAAAAGTACAAAAATTAGCTGGGCTTGGTGGTGGGTGCCTGTAGTCCCAGCTACTTGGGAGGCCGAGGCAGAAGAATCACTTGAACCCGGGAGGCGGAGATTGCAGTGAGCCGAGATCATGCCATTGGACTCCAGCCCGGGCAACAAGAGCGAAACTCCTTCTCAAAAAATAAAATAAAGTAAAATAAAATAAAATACGATATAAAATGGTAGCTCACTCCTGTAATCTCAGCACTTTGGGAGGCTGAAGCCAGTAGATTGCTTGAGCTCAGGAGTTCAAGTACAGTCTGGTTGACAAGGTGAAACCCGGTTTTTACAAAAAATCTAAAACTTAGCTGGGAGTGGTGATGCGGGCCTGTAGTTCCAGCTACTCAGGAGACTGAGGTGGGAGGATTGCTTGAGCCCAGGAGGTCAAGGCTGCAGCAAGCCCCTGTCTCAAAAAAAAAAAAAATTGTCTCTGCCCCTTCAAGGGTACTTATGTTCAATTATAATTATTACAATACTTTTTAGTGTAAGAGCCCTGGGGATTCTCTAGAATGAGAGACTTGAAAAGTTCACTAGCAGTTTTTGAACTATGATGTTAATAGTGAATAATTTGGGAAGTGTGTAAAAAATGTATAAAGAAAAAAAAAATCACATCCGGCTACATTTTTTTATTTCCTAGGTACCTTCAAAACAACACGAGAGTTGTTTTCCAGTTCTTAAATTCCCTAAAATCTGTAGATCTTCATAATTATAACATTTTCCTATGCATCTTCATAAGTAACCACGTGGACAGACGATTTTCTGTAGTTAATGATTTCTTTTTCTTTTTTTTTTTTTTTGAGAGAGTCTCACTCTGTTGCCTAGGCTGGAGTGCAGGGGCCTGATCTCTGCTCACTGCAGCCTCTTCCTCCCTGGTTCAAGCAATTCTGCTTCAGCCTCCAGAGTAGCTCCAGCATGCATCACCATGCCTGGCTAATTTTTGTATTTTTAGTAGAGATGGGGTTTTGCCATGTTGGCCAGGCTGGTCTTGAACTCCTGACCTCAAATGATCCACCCTCCTGGGCCTCCCAAAGTGCTGGGATTACAGGCGTGAGCCAATCGTGCCTTAGTTAATGATTTCATCGAGTCCTTTCCAGCTTTCCAAGTCTGTGCTGCCTCTTTCTGCAAGCTTATTTCTGATGCATCTTTGAGTGTGTCCTACCCCTGAATGTCTAATTTGTTGTGAAAATACTTATACTTTATGCCCTACATTTTAGGCCCTTACATGTGTCATCTTGTTTAATGTGACAGCAACCCTATGGGATAGGATCTATTATCCTTATTTTACAATGAGGAAACAGAGGCCTATAGGGAATAAGTAATTTTAAACCCAGACATTCTTGATGCCGTGACCTGTACTCATGCCCCCCATGCTTCACAGCCTTCTCAATGAGTAATTTATCAGGACACCCATGCATGTGAGGTGGTTGAGAAAGGGTGAATATTGTCCTTCCCACATTTTATTAGGGCATTATCAGTAACTGATATAAAAGTATACTTGGGACTTGGAATACTGCTATATCAGAGATTCACTGGAGTTATCTCTTTAGTTCAGATACTGTCACAGCTTGATGTGTGATTTCACTTGTGTATAATATGGTTGAAGTATTTTATGTTGTGTCTGTGGGACAGTTTAAATTAGTATTTCTTGTTTTTGAACAGTGGGCCACAATACGAATTGAAAAAGGAACCCCAAAGGAGTCGATTCTTAAAAACTCTGCTTCTGTTGGTAAGTTTTCCTTTTCATTATGATTGTTACCATATTCAAATTGCGTAGATGTAAACCTACCCAATTTGAACTTGAAATATGCAGAGAGCAGTATGTTCTATAGGCTTTGGATCTTTCATAATTCTGTCAGTGTAAAATAGCAGCTGCCTGAGTTTTCATGGACTTTTTATTATAAAGGTGGTAATATGTGTTAGCTCCTCTATGTGTTCTTATAGGTATTGTTTTCCTTTCTAAGGGCATGCATTTGAAGATGGCTGTCCATGGTTTTAAAGATGTAGTCAATGGCCAAAAGAAAAAAGAAAAAGGCTAATGGGAGTTCCTGCGAGTTAAAACCTATTATTGAGGTTTCATTAACCAACTTGTGATTCTCAAAGTATGTTCCTCAAAATACTCTTTTCTGATGAAGGCTGATTGGTAATACATGAAATAAAAAATAATTTTCTTGTGAAATAAGCTTAGGAATCATCACATACTCCACTTTCCTTTTGGAGAGTCTATTGCATACTAATAAAGGCTCAGAAAAGTCCTGCAATAAAGAAACATGCTTGACCAGGTGCAGTGGCTCACGCCTGTAATCCCAGCACTGTGGGAGGCTGAGGCGGGCAGATTGCTTGGGCTCAGGAGTTCAAGACCAGCCTGGGCACATGGTGAAACCCCGTCTCAACAAAAAATACAAAAATTAGCTGAGTGTGGTGGTGCGCACCTGTAGTCCCAGCTACTAGGAGCGGGGCTGAGGTGGGAGGATTGCTTGAACCGTGGAAGTTGAGGCTGTAGTGAGCCGTGATCACACCACTGCACTCTGGCCTGGGCAATACAGTGAGACCTCATTTGGAAAAAAAAAAAGTCAAACTATCAAATACTTTATTGGAAGGAATTTATCTTCTGGAAGCTTTTCTAAAAGGAATTGTAGAAATTGTATTCTATATCGAGTTTTGGAAATAACAAAATATTTGACTGAAAACATTGGAGTATTTTTGTAAAATCGAATTATGATTTTCAAATGATTGAAGCAACTAGTAGAACTTCATTGTGTATACTTAAACACCAAAATATTATCACCAATAACATTTTTACCAAGTCTGGATATTTCTGGCTATATTTTATCCTTTATAGCCAGATACCTTCTCTGAGATATAGCAGATCTATAATTTTAAAAAATTATTCTGAGTTCATTTAAAAATGTATGTCCTTATGATTTAAGGAAAGAACAGACTTTCTTGCTGGTTTTCTGTTGTGCTTGGTGAGACTGAGCTGTTGATCTTGAGTGAAAATCAGTGAGCCTTAATATATTGGGGTGATTGCGGTATATGTTTTGGGCCATGAATTTTAATTTAATTTAATTTTCTTATTTACATTAAATTAGTTAAATTTTCTGCTTTTGAGACAAAGTCTCACTCTGTCCCCGAGGCTGGAGTGCGGTGGCGAGATCTTGGCTCACTGTAACCTCTGCCTCCCAGGTTCAAGCTATTTTCCTGCCTCAGCCTCCTGAGTAGCTGGGACTACAGGCGTGTGCCACCATGCCCAGCTAATTTTTGTATTTTTAGTAGAGATGGGGTTTTACCATGTTGGCCAGGCTGTTCTCAAACTCCTGACCTCAAGCGATCCTCCCACCTCAGCCTCATAAAGTGCTGGGATTACAGGGCATCAGCCATTGCACCCGGCCAGGCCATGAGTTTTAAAGGACACAAAGTATTTCAATTTGGCAGGTGATGGGATTAAAAAATCAGTAGATGAGAGGGTCCAGTAGCATGGGTTTAGTTTTTTTTTTTTTTTTGCCTATGCAGAAATGAGAACTTTTTTAATATTTATACTTAGTGGATTACTATTTTTATTGCAATCTTTGTCAAACATCTGCTTTTTCTGTTTTTGATCTTTGTCTTTTCCATGGTATCTCCAGGAAAGAATGGAAGTGAACAGGAGGAGAAAATAGAAATCATAATATTTTAGAGTAATGCTGATGCCTGCAAAATTTGTCGTATTTCATTCAGAGTGTCTGCCCTTCCTTGTAGCCTGTGAAATTGGAAATTGACTCTCATAGTTATTGAACAACTGCAACATGTAGGGTTGACAAAGGATCCAAAGTTGATTAAGACATGGTCCCTGTGGGGAGATAGGCATTTCACAGACCACTGTGATAAATACTGAAATAGGTGCATAAGCAAAGGACAGTGTGAGATCTCATTTCGGCTCTGATATGTACTGCTTTCGTCTCTGCTAATCCCACAACTGTGCATGGTATGCAACTCTGCTCCCCTCCTGACTTGGTGCTTGGGTATCCAGGGGTACTTAGTACCAGGGGTATTAAGTAAGGGGTGTGTGCCCTGTTGATACATACTAGTGTTTGGAGTCATCTGAGAAGTAGTGTCACAATCCTAGACAGACTGATAGAGGGTGATGATGAAACATTGAGTACTTGTGTTCTTGGCTGGTGCAGTTTTTGGCCTTGAGAGCACCACGTCTCTGTATCAAAGTTTAGGCAAGGGTCACAGGCAGGCCAAGGACCCCAGGAGTGTGGGTACAATTTTGAGATGTGTCTGAATGATATAGTCCTGAAAATAGATTTTGAGGAGCTGAGAGGGAGAGTTATGCTTATTTTCTGCACTGAAAAACTTCCTTCTGCTGCTCTTTCATTTAGTGAAACACACTTTTTTTTTTGAAATGCATTTCAAGTCTCCCCAGTTAAATCCCTCTTGCATTGTATTTCTTCTGTGCTTTTATTGAATAAGCCAATTGAAAGGTGAGCCTAGGCAAATTATTAACTGTGGTTAAATAATTCTCTTCTGTCTTTGGTCATATTCTGCTGTGTCTTTTATTTAAAAGCTATTTAATTTGTTGAGCTTCAGATATGATTATGGGTAAATCTTATTAAGAAGTCATGTTATTGTACTTTCACCTTCCTCTTCTTCTTCCTTTTTTTTTTTTGAGATGGGGTCTGGCTGTATTGTGCCAAATTCCTGGCCTCAAGCAGTCCTCCTGCCTCAACCTCCCAAAGTGCTGGGATTACAGCCATGAGCCATAGTGCTGGGCCGTACCTTACTCTTCTAAGCTTAAGGACTTTTCCTCATTGTTAACACAAAAAAGGGTAAATCTTTTTCCCCACTTCAAGTAACTATTTTATTCTGAGCATTAAACTTCAGTGGAGAATATAGTTACCCTTCTACCCTAGTTTTGTCCCCTGAAAGCAGAAGTGCTAGAGCCACAGCATAGAAGGCTAGGACAAGAAAATACAAGAATAATGGCTTGTTTGCTTCTTTTTATCAGCTGTGCTTTTGTTGCTCCAGCCATAGGACAAATGCATCTCCTCGGACCCTGGGACTTGGTCTGACTGAGATCTTAGCAACTTTTATTTTAGCCTGTTTTAAATATACAAAGGATCGTTTGACTTTTAAGAGGCACCGGCCTTACTCTTTGGGCATCTGATTTTCAGGGATTATGATGCTGTTAGGTTTGAGTTTGAATTTGGTTCATAGCTTTGATAGTAATTGTGATTAATATTAGTAATTATGTAATTTTAGTGACTCAAGATGAATTCTACTCTAATTGCATTATGACACTAGGACATTTTGAATGATTACCATGAAAAGTCACCAAGCATGAATAAAGGCCTGCATTTACCTGGGAGTGAGTCATAAACACCACAAATACATAAAGGCGGTAGCTTGTCTTTTGGCATTGTTCCCTTAGAGGGTGATGCTGGCGTGACTCAGCATTGTTGGCCACAAAGTGCACACAACCACTGCAAGTCCTACACCATCCCCTGCTCCAGCAGCACTGCACACGAAGACTGTGGTCGCATGGCCTGCTGTTGATTTAGCCCCTGTGCTGAATTTCTCTCTGCCTTGTATCTCATGCCCCCAAGTCTCTTTTGCCCACCTAAACACTCAAAAAGGAGAAGGTACTAAGGTGAAACTTCTGTTGTTATACCTATTCAGAGAGAATTCAGGTTGCCTAACATGGCCCTCTAATTTTACTTTGGGAATTTTTTTCTGTGAGGCAATTGACTAACTACATGAAATCCTGTATACATTGGTTATATGAACATTAATAAAATCTTATACATTCACAGAAAAATATAGGATCATATTTTGTGACAGAAGTTTGAGAAATATGAAGTCAGGTGGGGTCATGCATGCCTATAGTCCCAGACACTTTGGAGGCTGAAGGGGGAGGATCTGGAGTTTGAGGGTAGCCAGGGCAAAATAGTGAGACCTATCTAAAAAAAAAAAAGAAAGAAATTTGAGGAATATTTTTATACACTTATTTTGTTTTGGGCAGGCCGTTTTTGATAGTCTAAATTAGCTAACTTAATTAATGATGTACACTCTGAATACAAACCAGTATGTGTTGCCCTCAAGAATATGAAGTATAATGTATCTAATGGGGTTATCTTATTGATACAATACAGGAAGTTGTCATATATATATATATATATATATATGAAACATGTATTAGTATGTGAAATATATAAACTTATCATATATATATGAAACATTATGTATTAGTATGTGAAATATATATTATGAATACATAATATATACATAATATATATTATTATTATTTTTAAGACAGTGTCTCACTCTATCGCCCAGGCTAGAGTGCAGTGGTGCAATCTTGGCTCACTGCAACCTCTGCCTCCTGGGTTCCGGCAATTCTCTTGCTTCAGCCTCCTGAGTAGCTGGAATTACAGGGGTGCGCCACCACACCTGGCTAATTTTTGTATATATTTATTATTATTATTATTTTTTTGAGATTGAGTCTGGCTCTGTTGCCCAGGCTGGAGTGCAATGGTGTGATTCCGGCTCACTGCAACCTCTGCCTCCCGGGTTCGAGAGATTCTCCCACCTCAGTCTCCTAAGTATCTGGGATTACAGGCATGCACAACCACGCCTGGCTAATTTTTACATTTTTAGTAGAGATGGGGTTTCACCATGTTGGCCAGGATGGTCTCAATCTCCTGATTTCATGATCCACCCACCTAGGCCTCCCAAAGTGCTGGGATT